CCCTGATTTCTGACTGGAGCCCATTTGGCCACATTTCTACCGTTCATTTAAACAATTGATATCAGTTGATACTGGAACTCATCACTTTTCGGTTTCTGCTGACGGATGCATCACCTTTCACTGAACGGTTCGTTCATGAATAATTGTCCATTCATGAGACTGCACCTCTCCTTCCAGCCTCCCAGGAGTTTCAGGCCAAGCAGCACCGTACAGCAAGGACAGGATGCGAATCTTTTGTGAACCGGGTGCGATTGCCGAGAGGTTAGAACTTGATCATGCTACAACCACTATCCACAGCTGACTTTGCCAGCTTTGTTCAGGTCCAGCATTAATGATCATCAATCCCGACCACCGGCACTGGCTGTGAGAGAAAATCACTGCCGACAAACCAAAAAGAATTCCACCGGTTGTGTGTGTGGGTCTCAGAGAGCAGATTATCACATCAACCAGTGCGCCGTTGAGGCCTTTGTGAGCGGAGCAAACTCACAGTAGCCCGAGCGCCCAACATCAGCACCAAGCATCTTCCAGCTGCCCGTTGGAGCCAGTTCTGCGCCAGAACGCGCAGAATCTACCGCAGCGTGCCCGGATGTAGGACGCCGAGCGCCAGCAACACGAACACCCATCAAAATTGACAAAATTGAATTCTAGGGTGCAAGTTCGGAAGTTTGCACATCATGCCAGAAAGGCAGGGCTTCCGAAAAACTCCGTGCAGCCTAGAGCTGCTTCACTTTCGCGCTCGCCTCTTCTTGCCACGCGAAGGGAAATCCGCTGGATTTTCGCTGGAGGGGACAAAGATAAAATGCAGCTGAAGATTTCCAGCCATCGCCAGAGAAGCGACCTTCCGCAACAACCTGTTCAACTGTGAAGATGACCTCCCTTTCGCGGCCGCGCCCAGAAAACTGCAGAGTCAAGCAGAACAACAACTCTTGTCGAGTGGTGCTTGGCTTCTTGGGCTATGTAAGAAGACCAAGAAAATCCCATAGGCCAGACGCAGTGCAAAGGATATAGCAAACCTTCGCGCCAAGCATGTCCATCTTCCATGTGCTGCCGCTGATCCGCCACTGACATTCCAGCATTGACAAGTTCCACTGTGGAGATGGGCGGTTTGGCCATGTATCGACGAAGAGAGCTGGGAAGCTTCAACTGGTCAAACCAACACGTAGCATCGCGCTTGCTAAGGCGTAGTGGTCTTCCATCGCTGCACTCCAGAAAGGTCAACGCAGTTGGGGAAGCCAAGTGTCTCGGCTTTGGAGGTGCAGAAGCTGATTCTGAAACACGTCGGCCGTGCCATACCTCCCTCAGGCGTTCACCCCCAGGCTTCCCAACAGCGAAAGTGGTACCACCACCCTTGCAAAAAGTTGCTAAACTCAACTTACCACACCGCAGCTGCTTGACAACCAATTTTGCATATTCGTCTTTCGGGCCCTTAAGGAGAAAGATTCAAAAACACGCAAAGAATCATCGCTGTTGTCAAGGATTCCTTCAGGTGTTGCCAAGCTGGCCCGCACATGGGCTGGCAAGTGGGGCAAAGGATCGCACTTGAGGCCAGGGGGAGAGGTCGAAAGCTAGCCGAATCGCACCGGATGTACTAGTTACATAGTCGGCAAAGCATGTAGGGATTACATGTTTTGGGAGGAAGGTTGCTATGTACATACTTTGCGCTAAAGAATGTAAATGTGACATCGCTGACTGGGAAGGGTACATTGGAACAACCCGGGTGCACTCGTTGGCAGGCACGAAGATGCGTGATCGGCAAATCTGGGGGGTAAATTTATCCTCCGCTTTTGTATGCCTTGAGTCGGAAAGAGGGGTAAGCATTTCTGACATCATACGGACTGTACATACACTAGGGCGTCCGTAGTGTAGGAGAAGCACGGGTAAAAGGTATATGGAATAGAGTGTCTTGAGGAAATAGCCGGTGTATGGTTATTGCAAATCTGGGGGGTAAATTTACCCCCCGCTTATGTATGCCTTGTGCTGGAAAGAGGGGTAAGCATTTCTGGCATCACAAGGACTGTGCATACACTAGGGCGTCCGTAGTGTAGGATAAGCACTGGTAAAAGGTATAAGGAGTAGAGTGTCTTGAGGAAATAGCCGGCTTATGGTTATGGCAAATCTGGGGGGTAAATTTACCCCCCGCTTATGTATGCCTTGAGCCGGAACGAGGGGTAAGCATCACAAGGACTGTGCATACACTAGGGCGTCCGTAGTGTAGGATAAGCACTGGTAAAAGGTATCAAGAATAGAGTGTCTTGAGGAAATAGCCGGTGTATGGTTATAGCAAGCCTGGGGGGTAAATTTACCACCCGCTTATGCATGCATTAGGTTAGAAATAGGGGTAAACAACTTGTAACGGTGAAGTACAAGTCCTATGCAGCAAGCAGCAGCCAGCAGCAGCAGCAGCAGCAGCCGCCTGCAGCCAGCAGCCAGCAGCAACCACCAACCAGCAGCCAGCCAGCAGCACCACGCAGCAGCAGCGCAGCATCAAGCCGCAGCAGCAACAGCACCACCGGCAGCAAGCACCACCGGCAGCAAGCAGCAAGCAGCAGCAGCAAGCAGCAAGCAGCAAGCAGCAGTAGCAGCGGCGTCGTCAGCAACAGTAGCAGCAGCACCAAGCCGCAACAAGTAGCAAAGCAGCAGCTACAAAAGCGGCAACCAGCGGCAGCAGCAAACAGCAGCAGCAAGCAGCAGAGCGGCAGCAGCAGCAGCACCCTTTACACCAAGCCACCGTTTACACCCAACCAACCACGTTCACACGTTCAACCAACCCCCTACACGGCGCAGCTGGGAGTTGAACCGCGGGGGGGGGGGTTAGCTTGATATATCAATCTTTAAGGCACGCAGCCCCTCCCACCACAACATTGCTAAAGCAAAGAAGAACTCAGCTAGCATGCTAGCTTTCGTGATAAGCCAGCCGCTTGCAAGTTGTCCACCCTGTCAGCAACCAAGTCTTGGAAAGAAGTTGTACCTGCAGTGAAACCTGGCACAAAATCTGGCACAAACCGCTCCCAGCCATCTTGCGCATGTTGCAGGCGTGTGAGTGTCCACACTGTGCGATCCACGATGTTTTTCAAAACTGCTTGTTGAGCGAACGTGTGCTTGCCAGTCGGCACTGTCTGCTTTATGCCGTGCAACCAGTTCAGAATGCCAATGACCACGTTGATGAATTGGAGGAGCACGCTCCACCTGCCACTTGTCATGTCTACAGGCTTCAGCATGCTACCACCAAGCGGGGCCAAGGGAAAAACATCTCGTTGCCGAGTTCTGACCGGCGGCTGCACAGGCAAGGAATTGCAAAGAAATTCACCCAACACTCCAGTTCCAGTTTTGGCGGCAAGGGCGAGACGGTAGAACAACCAAACCTTGTCTGATGGAATGGTGGAATGGCCATCTGCCCTCCATGCCAGCCACAAAGCCCTTCTGCGTCGGGAAGAACAACGGCTGGCAGAAGAACGGCCCTGTTTTGGATCGGAAGCATTCTGACGCGTGGCATGAGCAGAGGCTCTGTTGAAGTCGCGTCTTTTCTTGGATGGTGACATGCAAACTCTTCCCCGATGAAAACTTCTTTGCTGGCGGAAACCAAAAAACTCCAGCGAGGAGATCCAACGAGAGAGGAGCTTGATCACTGCCCACCCATGCCGGACGGACCGACACAGACACCGCACGAAGCGACCCTGATTTCTGACTGGAGCCCATTTGGCCACATTTCTACCGTTCATTTAAACAATTGATATCAGTTGATACTGGAACTCATCACTTTTCGGTTTCTGCTGACGAATGCATCACCTTTCACTGAACGGTTCGTTCATGAATAATTGTCCATTCGGTAACACCCCGACGCTTACATTCGATACTAAAGGCCCCCGACATTTAATTCTGTACTGAAACTCCCCGACGATTACATTCGGTACTAAAGCCCCCCGACAATTACGTTTTGTACTAAAACCTCCCGACAATTACTTTCTGTACTAAAACCTCCCGACACTTACTTTCTGTACTCAAACCTCCCGACAATTACTTGCTGTACTAAAACCTCTCGAAAATTACTTTCTGTACTAAAACCTCCCGACAATTACATTCTGTACTAGAGCCTCCCGACAATTACATTCTGCACTAAACCCTCCTGACAATTACATTCTGCACTAGGACCCCCCAACGTGACCTCTTCCCACAGTGCCGCATAAAAAAAAAGAACCCTTAGCATAAAAAAAGAAACCATTAGCATAAAAAAAGAAACCAGGAGCATAAAAGAAAGAACTGCAAGCATAACAGAAAAAACCATTAGCATAAAAAAAGCACTATAAGCATAAAAAAAAGAAACCCATACCCCAAAAGCACACCAACCCCGCTGTGAGCATAAGAAAAAAAACCATTAGCATTAAAAAAAAAAAAAAAACACCCAGCCCATTCTTTTTCATGGTCATGTAAGTGTTGATTCAGAACGTGTGCAGCGCCTTGCCTTCCCCACTGCTGTCAGCATATACCAAAAACATCACGAGGAGTGACACTGTGACACTCAAAGACCATCACCAGGTCCAGGATTGAAACCAAGACAGGATTGGGGATTTTCAAGGCAGGAACCACGACCACAACAGAGGTGCTTTATACAGTACCCTTCAATTCAACGTCACCACCAAAACCCGATGAGAAAAAGTGATACAGCACGTGATGAACCTTCCTCAACATAGGCTCGTGAAAGTTAATACATGTTGTTCCAAGAATATACTTCTGGAGACATTGTAGACTCGTATTCAGAATCTCAACGTTCCTACATGCAGAATCAGTCTTGACCCCCACTGCTCACTGCTCACTGCTCACGGGTCACCCACCGACTCCCCAAAAAACACACGACCACACGACCACTCACACGACCCACCGGGAGATTTTCCCCCACCGTGAACCGGTGAACCCGAACCCGGAGACCGTCCCAAAACCCGGAGACCTACCACTCGTGAGGACGCCAGGGGAGGAGGTGCTCGCATGCTCGGTGCTGCTCGGTCCTTCTGGCGTTTGAAGACCTCCTGCCCCGCGCAGTCCACCAAGGTTTCAGAGCCTCTCACAGGCACCTGACGAGTGGACGACTGTGGCACGTGGGTCGAACGGCGGGTGTTTTGGGGGGGCAGATTTCTCTGTGAAATGGCGATGAAAGGGGACCGACCCGTGTGGAGCTTGGCTGAAAAATGCTGAAAGAAACTATAAGAACTCTGCGTTGTTTTTCTTGAAAACCGAAGGCTGTTCATAAGAATGAATTTGGGGGGTGTAAAATTTGTCAGTAAAGGCTAAAGGTCGTTCATGAAACAACACATACCAGAACGTCATGGTCACTTCCCAGGTGACAGGGCCACATCTAAAAGGTTTGGTTTGCTCTCTCGGTCACCAACTCCAAAACTCCAAAACACAAACCCGCCCTAGGCCTCCAAGTACCTTCTGAGAAGGTGTTTGGGGTGGGTGCCAGGAGGGTTCAAATACCTTCTGAGGAGGTACGACGAAGTCGGTGTAGGGCCGGTTTTTAAGGCATGGAATTTTTCGGGGAGGCTCTATAGGATCAGACCAACAACTAGCTAGCAGCTAGCTGCTCAGGCTGGGGGAAACCAACAGGACATCCGAGGACCCGGATGGTCCTGGAACCGGAAGTGTGGTGCTGCTGGACGCGGAGAAAACATGCCACAACACTTGCAGTTTTGTCACCCCTGGAAATCCAGGATCGAAGTAGCAACATCGACACGAACACTTGGACCCACACCACACCTTTGGGAGGTCACCTCGGAGACCGCGCTCCGACTCCCTCCTCCTCCCGGTGAGTCGGGTGTACGACTCGACTGGGGAGGCGAACCATGGCGTAGGCGCTCACCTTCGGGGATGTGAGGACTCTGGAAGAGTGACCATGTGGGGAGAATGAGTCATGGCATGTCATGGCACCCTGGTTTGAGCAACATGAATGGATCTCCTCAGATTCCAAACATGTCAAATGTTGTCAACCTACTATGGCTTTGGTGGAGGCTTTTGACCCAGAACCACGTTTGGGAGACTTGAGGTCAGATGGTCCCTGAACGTTTACCCCAAGGTCAGTGCTTTCCCTCTACAAAGCATGTCCAGTCTGAGAAGACGCTGCATACATTGACCTGGTTGCAACCATGCGCGCATGCTGGGCGTCTGTCGCACCCACTTGGCTATTATAATGGCTATCTATGTCCCAATGCAGCATACTAGAAACTCTTCTTCCACCACACTGTAAATGAGAACCCTGAGCTGCGCATTGGAGAAATGAAAAAAAAACAACTTGCTACAGTAGTAGGCCCTTTGGTTGCACGAGCGGTATGCCGCACTCCCAAGTCAATTGGTTCCGTTGGACCTCCTGGACTCGACTGGCTGCTCCTAAAGGGAAGGCCCCGGCACCGTTGGAAGGTCGTTTCTTGCACCCATTGGAGAATGAAAAGAAAGGAATGAAGCTTATTTCAAAAGAATCTTTTCTGTTGGCTCCGTTTAGTTTTCTTCAGTCTCAATCTTACAAGACCCCGGATAAAGAAAAAAGGCGGGAACGCCTGAACCACAGAGTTCACCAACTCAAAATGATTCAACCATGTGCAGTACCCCATGTTTCTTAATGCCATGCCTTTCCCTTCTTCTGAGCCGTTCCGGTTTGGCTCGCTCGGTCTCCCGAACGGAGTTGGCCAAGGACTGCTCGGAGAAGTCGGACATCCGCGCCACCACCCAGGGCCTCTGCGACGAAGGGAGGGCGGTTGAGTGGACAAAATGAATTCCTTTGTTCAAACACGAACGATGGGAGTGCCATATTTGCCTACATTGGGGTGGTGGTTTGGGAGTTTTTATGGATCTAAATTATTCTAAATATGCCATATACGTGGAGCATCTGATCTAGTGTCTGGGATGAGTTCCTACACTCCGTGGAATCTTCATGGCTACATGGAGAATTCCTCATGGTTATTTGAGCCTGAGATTGAACATGGTCATCCGAAATTGGGGTCGTGCCGTCCACGCAACCATGATGATTCCAGGGAGTGTAAGTACCGTAACCCCTGTTTGGGGGTTCTATTCATAGCCCCGACAAAAGGTTAATCATTCAGGGGTGTCCACGAACCACGTGGGTCCTGGTGCAGGTGTCCATCCCTTGAATCCACCCAGAAAAAGATGTTCAGGCACTTGCTGCAGGTCAGGAGCCTGAGGCTAGGGGTAGGATTTTAGACCTGCGAAAGGACCCCAATATTTCCAGCCATCTCTCTATCGATCTATCTGACTCTGAGTGCCTTACCTCAGGAGCAAAAGACTCGGGCTTTTCAGGAACTTGCTGACTGGGCCAACTCCTCATGGACCAGTGTCTGGCCTTCACTGAAACTGATCAGTCATGCCTTTTCATCGAGAAGAAAGTTGAAACTGATCGAGAAGAAGGACTGCCACTTGGTATGAAGAAGCAGGTGTGGCTTTCATTTCAGGCTGAAGTCGTGCTAGACTAGACCCTATTCTGTGGTTGGTGATGGTTGGTGGCATTGTTCGTAAGTCGGCTTTACTGTAAATCAGGAGTGATTTCTTTTCAAGAACGGTCAGGATGCCGGCCGTGTTGCTTCGAACAACCGCCTCAACCCAGTGACTTTTGGTCTACGGTCTACGGGCTCTTCTGGGTGCAGCCTGCACCGTGTATCTTGTGACGGGCTGGACCTGGCAACTTGGCACTGACATCTCTCTCAAAACCCAGACACTCCATGGGACTGCCATATATGCCTACATTGACCCCCCCTTTCACCACCCCTGGCCTGATCGGCATATATGACAGACCCATGGGTCGTGTCTGGGAAAGTTTGATGCACCTGACTGAATCTCATTTTATTGCGAGATGGATGAGTTTCATCCACTGCACCGGATGAAACACCGAGGATTCGGCGCGTTTCCTGTCGTGGCGCCGCAGGAGTACTCGGAGGAGTCTCATCGGGAATTGGGCGCTGCACCATCGGGAATTGGGCCCAGTGCCGGGAAAATGAGGTCCACTGCCATGTTTCTGGAGTGATGCCAGGTTGTGAAATACTCCGTTTCTGGCACTCTTCTTCCGCCACTATCCTAGGGGTATAAGGAGTCAATCGACCCTTAGGGATTAATTGCGTTAATTTCCACCAGATTGTTCTCACTTGTCAGGATATGCGCAATGACGAAAACACACCTCCCAGTCAGCCATGCTCAGGTTCCCGGACAAGCAAGCGTGGAAGAAATCCAACACCTCGCGCACGCCAAACCGCGCCGAAGATCCCCACACCAGTCCGCGCTGCAGAACGGGGACCAAGCGCTGCAGTCTTTGTTGTGCTGGTGTTTGCATGCAGTTTTTGGAAGAAGTCATGGAAGTGGACACTGGATGCTTCCATATGGCCCCCCGAATGTGTTGAGAGGTTCATGAAAATCCGAAGACCAAACAGGTGGTGCCATTCCCAGACACTCCATGTATGGCATATATGCCTACATTGGGGTGGTTTTGGGGGTCAATGTAGGCATATATGGCATACATGGAGTATCTGGGATTCACTTCCATGATAGTTTCCGGCGAGAGACGTCCTTTCTTGGAAGGATACTTTGAGCTTGACCATGCCCAATTCCACCAGTGGTCTGACCGGTGAGGGATCCTTCACCATGTAATTCATATATGATCATATATGCCTATCATGGACCCAGGTCTGTATATCAATGTCAGTCCCAGTTCGGTCGTGTCTGGGTGTGTTTGTCTGATTCGTGGCAAAAAATAACTCTCACCTCCGCACAAAAACGGTTTCGGATGCAGGATCCGGTTCTCCAAAATGATCCTGTGCTCGACTGGATCTGGATGGATCCACTCTTCTTCTCTCAGGGACTTCATGAGAGCGTCCGAAAGGTATACTAGAGCTACTACTGGCCATGTTGAAGAGGAATTCAATTAGTGCATCACACGATGAAACGAGTGTCCCAAGAAGTTGAGTGAAGCAAAACTGCATCAACACGGATCCTGAATGCCCAATGAACACGCAAGATGAACCGCCAAATTCCCTCAAAAAATCCTCCACCAAAGCACCTGGCAGGTCACCAAACACTCCGGGTCACCCGGCCTCTTGCCGGAAATTCTCCAAGGTTGGAGCCATGGGAGTCATCTCATCCATGTTCCCCACCGCCTCGCTCGACGGACATCGGTCGCGTCTGTCACGAACCGAGACCCATCAGTCCTGACCCACCGAGAGACAGGTCGTCCATGAAGACGGACGTGTCAAGCGTCCCCCCGAACACGTTGCGAAGGCGTGTGAACCAAATGGACCGAAAAAAAATAGAACAAAACGACATCAGCGAGTGTTTCCTCTGGAAAGCAAGCAGTAATCTGGTGGATTGGGGTGGTTTCACAGATCAACGTACAGTGGTAGCGTGATCCATTTGACAATCATAACAAGCGTGCTACTCGTCGGCTCCAACGTTGTTCTGACGATTTCATTTGGCCATGTTTTTTGGAATTGTCCAAGTCCAATGGTTACAAACGAAACAACCAACTGTTTGCTTCTCGTCCAATCAAGTTCTTCCGAAAACGTACCTCTAGCAAAACTTATACGAACCACATTTTTCATGGATGTGCTCTAATTATAAACCCAAACTTCTGTGCACGAGCTGCTTGAGCAAGAACCTCAGCGACCTTTGAATCCAACCAATCAGACCGAAGCACACACACACCCACCCAGACACACACACACACTCTGACATTGGTTTTCAGTTAACTCAATTCCCAGGAAAAAAATGGCGATGGAACGGAAAGGTGAAAGAGTCGGCGCACTTGAAAAATTTAACTTGTTCACGTGTCTGCAGAAACGCGCGGCAGCTGAAAGCGGCGGAAGGAAAAATCTGGTGGAGGAAACCTGTTTGTGGGAAGGTATCATGGGCAACCACCATGAATCAAATCAAAAGTGGAAAAGCTTGAGCAACAGTTTCCGGTGCAGGTACGTCGGCAAGCGTCCTTGCCGATATCCTAGGATCATGTGACGGGCTTCGTTGGATGGAGCCTCACATGTCCTCTCCATCCCCCTGCATTCAAAACTCTTAGTTACAGAGGTTGACACACACACACACACACGATGCCACTTTGCGGCGCTCTCGCGGAGGACCTGAATAGGTACCTAAAAAGCCTTAGAAACAAAAGAAAGAAAACCAGAAAGGGCAGCGCTAAGAGGGCAAGAGAGAAAGGTAGGAGTAGACAAAAGTGAATACTTAGCCCTTGACGGGGGTAGGGAAACGAGCCTCGGGAACAACCTAAAAAGCCTGAGAGAAAGCCCAAGAAACGACCAAAAGCGCAAGCAAGAAAGTGGGGGGCAGGGAAGTGTATGTACATTTGTGTGTCCGTGTGTGTGTATGACTACCGAGCACTCTAGAGTTACTGAATACTTAGCCGAATGAATTAGGTGCACTAGTTAGGGAGCAGGACTTTTGTCTTACACCGCCCGGGTAGAGTAGATTAGAAAAGGGACAACAGAGGGAAAGGCACCGACACACAAGTGTACCGAGTACCATTTCCCTCTGTTACCCTAATTAGAGGGGGGGAGGGGTTGGGGTGTTTGGGGTAGAGAACACGTCTGGGTTTATTCTCCGTTGGCCCGGCGGCTTGATTGTGGCGCAAGTCTGTGGCACCCAGTGTTTTACAGTAAAGTCACCATCAATGCATATGCGTTTTTCCTCAGCGTGTCGTGGAAGAAGCGTTGTCAGCAAAAAGCTTTGCAACTCTGGAATCAGGACTCTGTACTCTGAATCCAGGTCGGGCGCAGGCTGATGAATTTGTTTGTGGACAAAGCCACTGACTTGCCAGCTATTGTGGTGTCTGATGGGTGCAAGAAGTGCATTGTGTCATACCACTGACACCGACTGGCGTGGCCAAATCATTGCTCACTGGTCCCAATAGCTGCCTCCATAGTTGGGAAGTGCCATGTGTTGGCGGCCTCCTGTGCCAGGATGTAGCACTCCTCGGATGGGTTCCACCAGTACGCCGGCTTCTCTTGCATCCACTGCTTGAAGCTGTGCGTCTCTCCGTTTGCTGACTCAAACCAACATTGAATGGCTCCTGCCACACCCACCCGGGCGCCTTGGACAATGTATCCAAGTTTCCCACGTCGTGGTTCAAACCCGTGGCCAGCAGCCTTGCCACCGTGCGCTGAATCACTCATCTCCTTGCTCACGCAAAGAGCTCTGTATAGACGGCATGGGCTCCACGGCTTTGAGGGTGCTGCTTCATGTCAAGAAGTTCCAGCCACAGGCACTTCTTTTTGAGAATCCAGTAGTGGGACCAATTCAGTTAGGAGAATCCAACGCATGCAGGAAACAGTTGAGTCCGTTACACGATAGCCCGGAGTGAAAACGGCGCCTCCTTGCGGAGGATCACACCCAGCACCCAAGTGGGACGACTGAGCGAGTCACACTCTGACATTGGTTTTCAGTTAACGCAATTCCCAGGAAAAAATGGCGATGGAACGGAAAGGTGAAAGAGTCGGCGCACTTGAAAAGTTTAACTTGTTCACGTGTCTGCAGAAACGCGCGGCAGCTGAAAGCGGCGGAAGGAAAAATCTGGTGGAGGAAACCTGTTTGTGGGAAGGTATCATGGGCAACCACCATGAATCAAATCAAAAGTGGAAAAGTTTGAGCAACAGTTTCCGGTGCAGGTACGTCGGCAAGCGTCCTTGCCGATATCCTAGGATCATGTGAGGAGCATCGTTGGATGGAGCCTCACATGTCCTCTCCATCCCCCTGCGTTCAAAACTCTTAGTTGCAGAGGTTGACACACACACACTTAGATGGTTGCTCGCAAGAGCTAGGATCAGTATGAAGTCCCCCTTGACTTGATGAACAGAAAGAAGCACAAACCGAAAGGTGGTGGAGTCGGCGAACTTGTAGATGTTTAACAAAGTTTGGAAATGCATTAGCCGCTTACTGCAAAACACCGTAGTGGACAGCTTAGTCAACAGTTCAAACAGGTAACCCCTCGCAGGTACACAGATTGGCGTCCCAATCTGCTTCACAGGAAGTCCATGGTGTCTTCGTTGGATGCCGACCATGGAAATCCCCGGCATCCCCGTGCCTCTTTTTCCGCGCTGTGTTTTGACTTGAAAAACTGCACGCTAATAGTGATACCAGGAGCCGTTAGTAGCGAAACCAGGGGCCCCTAGTAGCTTCAATTGTGGCTCAAAACCTTAGGCACAGGTGTGGACACGCACACACACACACACAAAGCCGTACTCGGCGCGCTCTCCCCTGCTTGCAAACTAGTAGCGAGGCCAGGAGCCCCTAGTAGCGTCCTTACTCCGCGTAGAACGGCCAGAGAACGGCCAGAGGCGCCTGGGAGTACCGTCCTGGCTCCTAGTAGCGAGACCAGAAGCCCCTAGTAGCGTCGTTTGTGACGCAAAGCCTCAACTTCAAGCACATGTATGGAAACCTACATCACCGTAATCGGTGCGCTCTTTGGACACATAGCGCCAATATTGGCGCTGCGGAAAAATACTAGCCACCTAGAAAGCCTTAGAAAGACAGACAAAGCAAACAAAACAAAAGCAGACTAAGAGGGCAAGAAAGAAAGATAGGTGTTGTTACGAGGCCCACTTAGTTAAACGAAAGTGGTTAGCGAGCGGGACTTTGGTCTTATACCGCCCGGGTAGCTAGAGGTAGGACAGGAGAAATAGAAGGAAAGGCACCAACACACAAGTGTGTTGAGTGCGACTTCCTTCTATAACCCTAGATAGCGGGTGGGATAGCAACGGAGGCCTGGGGCAGGGAGTGGTGGCCAAAGGGCTGTCATCATTGACATGTCAAGCCGATTATGGGGACGGCGGACCCATTTTTGACAAGCATCTGAAACCTAGAGAAGCCTAAAGAAAGGCCTCCGGAAAAAGAAAAGCAACAGCAAGAAAGAAAAACCCAAACGGACCAAGAAAACCCACTCTCTCGTTTCGCGCTCTCGTCCGGCCTATGAATACTTAGCAGCGTGACATGGGCATGTGAATACTTAGCCGTGTGCAAGCATTCCAAACTGGAGTTGGTCACAGTAAGCCCTGCGGCACAGTATCAGTGGTATCATGCAGCACCGCGGATCAAGGGGAATCAAGAGAAGTCCAGGAGTGCAAATGGAACATTCAAGGTGAGTCCCCCAGGATCTGGGTCTGTGCACATGCAGCGCCCCTTGCCGGGGATCACACCACAGCCCTCAGTGGGACTCTGTGGCGATACACACTTAGATGGTTGCTCGCAAGAGCTAGGATCAGTATGAAGTCCCCCTTGACTTGATGAACAGAAAGAAGCACAAACCGAAAGGTGGTGGAGTCGGCGAACTTGTAGATGTTTAACAAAGTTTGGAAATGCATTAGCCGCTTACTGCGAAACACCGTAGTGGATAGCTTATTCAACAGTTCAAACAGTTAACCCCTCGCAGGTACACAGATTGGCGTCCCAATCTGCTTCACAGGAAGTCCATGTTGTCTTCGTTGGATGCCGACCATGGAAATCCCCGGCATCCCCCTGCCTCTTTTTCCGCGCTGTGTTTTGATTTGAAAAACTGCACGCTAATAGTGATACCAGGAGCCCTTAGTAGCGAAACTAGGGGCCCCTAGTAGCTTCCTTTGTGGCTCAAAACCTTAGGCGCAGGTGTGGACACGCACACACACACACTTATGATTTTGTGTACTGACTTGACAGCGGGGCCACACGCCAGCCTAAGAAACCAAATCCTGAAAAGTCCAGGAGAACCCTGTGGAGCCTGGAGGTCTTCAAAAGGAGAAAGGGCCAAAAGCTCAAGACCGAAAGCGACGAGCAGGTCTAGATGACGTCGCACGCTCATGTCTGCCAAGCTCATTAGCACTTTACTGAAAATTAGAGTCAAAGCTTGTTCAAAAGTTCAAACAGGTACGTGCAGCTGATCAGGCTGCATATCCTGAGGTCACCATAGAGAGCTTCGTTGGGCGCAGCTCTATGGGCCTCCTGTGCCTGTCTGGCTGCAGCGGCTAAGTTCTTGGCTTCTAGTGTGACAGCATCAGGCCATTGAGCTAGGTCTTCACATTGTGAATAACCGCTTGGGCCCAGCAAGTAAGATGACATTGCAATTTTGTTCGTCATGGTTTCTGAAGAGCACGATCAAAAGATTCGATGGCCGCTTGCAGTATCTTCAGGTAGTACGCCGCCATCGCTGCATTAAGCGCATTGAAGCGTGGGATGGCACATGATTCTTCAAGCTCAGTTCCAAACCCGACGCTAGATTGGGCTTCCCCCTGCTCAAAACAATTTAAAAAGAAATCCCTGTGACTACAAGGGGCACACACACACACACACGCCTCCCCAAGGGAGGCGCTCTTACCTAGTAGCGTCCTTGCACCTAGTAGTAAGGCCAGGGGCCCCTAGTAGCGTCCCACTCTAAGGTCCCGACAGGAGGGAGGGGTAGGGAGAGAAGAGAAGAAAGAAAAAGAAGAAAGGAAAGGAAAAGAAGGCGTTCCCAGCTACGACACAAGCGTCCAAGGACACACCAAGAGAAAAGAAGGGTTCCCAGCTATGACGAAAGCATCCAGGGACACCCAAACAAGAAGGAGGGAAAGGAAAGGAAAGGAAGGAGAAAAGAGAGAGAGGGAAAAGAGAGGAAGAGGACAGGTGTTCCCAGCTACGAACAAGCGTCCAGGGACACACTAGGGAGAAAGGGGAGGACCTGGTATTACATTCAGGAACACCCCCAAAAAAAGGAAAGGAAAGGAAAAGAAGGTGTTCCCAGCTACGACACAAGCGTCCAAGGACACACCAAGAGGAAAGAAGGGTTCCCAGCTATGACGAAAGCATCCAGGGACACCCAAACAAGAAGGAGGGAAAGGAAGGAAGGAGAAAAGAGAGAGAGGGAAAAGAGAGGAAGAGGACAGGTGTTCCCAGCTACGAACAAGCGTCCAGGGACACACCAGGGAGAAAGGGGTGAACCTGAGTATTACATTCAGGAACACCCCAACAAGCGACGGGGGAAGAGAGGGGGTGGGGGGAGGAAGGGGGACTAAGCTCTCGACAGGTTCCAATGAACCTTGAACAAGCTTCGGCCGCTGCGGCCACGTACGCCGTGCCAAAATGGCTGGCTGCTTAGACCGCTGCGGTCACGTACAGGCATGAGCCAGCTTGGAATTCAATAATCCGTCAGGTCTTGGCAAGTAACTTTGGCATAAGCCTCCTACGCCCGCTCTGGGCTCCGGGCAGGGGAGATAAAGACAAGCCCCCGTTCGACGGGTCCGCAGGGGGCACTCTTCGGGCTCACCCTGGGCTCTCACTAGGAGATTTTGTGTACTGACTTGACAGCGGGGCCACACGCCAGCCTAAGAAACCAAATCCTGAAAAGTCCAGGAGAACCCTATTGAGCCTGGAGGTCTTCAAAAGGAGAAAGGGCCAAAAGCTCAAGACCGAAAGCGACGAGCAGGTCGAGATGACGTCGTACGCACATGTCTGCCAAGCTCATTAGCACTTTACTGGAAATTGGAGTCAAAGCTTGTTCAAAAGTTCAAACAGCAGGTACGTGCAGCTGATCAGGCTGCGTATCCTGAGGTCACCATAGAGAGCTTTGTTGGGCACAGCTCTATGGGCCTCCTGTGCCTGTCTGGCTGCAGCGGCTAAGTTCTTGGCTTCTAGTGTGACAGCATCAGGCCATTGAGCTAGGTCTTCACATTGTGAATAATCGCTTGGGCCCAGCAAGTAAGATGACATTGCAATTTTTGTTCGTCATGGTCGTCGTTCGACCAGCGCGATCAAAAGATTCGATGGCCGATTGCAGTATCGCCTCCTGCAAGAATTGTTCCAGGACGGAGCAAAAGGAAGAACTGTCCATCCGACGTTTCACGTCAAGCAGGACTCGTTGATACTGCCGGAATAGAGCCTTTTGAGCGCCATCATCTTGCACTACGAGCGGGCCAGCAGAAATAACATTGTCGAACCAAGGAAGCTTCTTACAAAAGTCCAAGAGGGAGAGGGAAAGCGAATTCTCTTCCAACCAACAGCCAACCTCCACTGTGTCCAACATGTCCACGAAATCAAGATGGAAATCCACGTCTTCACACTCCGCCTGCCAGCGACGACGCTGGGTTTGATTTAAGGAAGAAAACAGCAAACCGCGTCAAACGAGCCTGCACCAACCACTTCGTTAGAGCTCCACGGTGGGAAGTTGCGTCTGGGAAAGACCTGTGGTAGACCAGCGCTCGCTTCCACCGCTGGAGCGCGGCACGTGGGGGAGAGCCCTCCTCGTGCAACAATGGGCCAGCCAGGATGAGTTCATCTATCCATGGTAGAGCTTGGAAAAAAGTGAAGAGTCTAGGAGGCAGCTGGCTCAAGCGCAGCCAGCTTAATGCGCATTGAAGCGTGGGATGGCACATGATTCTTCAAGCTCAGTTCCAAACCCGACGCTAGATTGGGCTTCCCCCTGCTCAAAACAATTCAAAAAGAACCCCTGTGACTACAAGGGGCACACAGAAACACACCCACGCACACGCACCTTCGCGGTCGCCAGGAGCGTAGAGGAGACTTCCTGCCAAGCAACTCTATGGGGAAGTCGACGATGTGTGCCCACCTCTCTTTAAATCCATGGGACTGGAAGATGTACAGTACCTAGATTACTCCCTTAAATTCCTCTTGAACCGACCCAAAACCACCCCGATGTAAGCTAATTAACTAAACAATCTTCCATTACAATGGATGGTCAGATGGTCTGTTCCACCGGCCTAACTCTGACCTTCATCGGTTCCACCGGAGCCTCAAGGGGCCGGAGCTATCGCAGTCACGGGCACGGGCACTGCATGTCTGTCGCGACGACTAGCGACAAGAAGATGGGATGAAGAAATGTCATAAAAAAGAAAATAATGATCACATAATATATCCCAGATACTCCATGGGACTGCCATATATGCCTACATTGACCCCCTTTCACCACCCCAACTGATTGGCATATATGCCATACATGGAGTGTCTGGGTATAGTGGGAGGTGAAAAAAGGGATGGATTTGGGAATCAGCACAAAAGGATCCAAGTCCTTTCCGACATGAATCCCCCTACGCAAAGTTTAGGATGTTTAGGGGTGTTGGTCAGTGTTAGTGGACCTCTAAGAGATGTCAGGCCATCCAATTCGTCAGACCCTCCCAGGAGCTCCCACAGCGTCTCAATGACCACCATTGGCCTATCCCAACTCCAAAATTGGGCCAGATCGACGTCAGTTAACTGGCGCCAGCCAACCCTTTCTCCGTTGACTTTCCTTACCATATTGCTTGCAAACCACCTTGCGGAGGTTCTATTTTTGGGTGGATCGGTGTTCACTGCTGGATCTTCCAACTCCCCACGCACCGCCCACCGAACGACCGACGCCGTCGCCCGTCCGAGGAGCCGCTCCTGTGGTTTAAACGTCGACAACTGCCGCGTGCAAACCTGGCGGAGCTGCGGCGGAGCTGCTCCATCCGTTGGTCAAAACCAAGAGTTCGTCCACTTTAAGGGTTTCAACATGTTTCAACCACGCTTTGGGTGCCCAAAGCACCATGCTGGAACAATCGTTTGATGCTCTCACCCAGCATCACCCAACCCAACCAAGAAACACGTTCGGTGTTTCATAGCATTTGGGCTTGACCGTGTACCGGAAGTTCCCTGTACACATCCATTGGTGGCCCAGGTCAGTCGGTCCAGGTCAGTGCTCCACCGGGGCGGGGGGCGTTTTGGGAACGACTAACGACGTATCCTGCATCAACGACATATATTTAGTGGGAGATGGGTGCGGATGGGACAACCATAGAAAAACACCATGGTTTTCAAAACACAACGTCAATGTCGGACGATATATTTATCTTTTTATATCGTATCAGATCGTCCGTTTGCATCATTAGGTCCATGAAAAGCAAGCAAATAAACGACTCCTCTCAACAGTCTTGCATCACATGTATCGGTTGGTTGCAATGGTTGCGTCCGCTTGTTGCAAGTGTATAGTTTATTCGGTTCATTGCATAAAATGCATGCAAGTTAGTATAGTTTGGACTTCGTAAAAAGTAAACAATTTCAAGGGAACAAAAAAAAACAATATACCTTCACCAACCAGACCCGAGAAGTTCGCAGGGTTTGCTTTCAAAACCAGGGTTTGCCCCCCAAACCCGGGGTTTTGCTTCTTGCGAACAAGAAAGAGGCTGGACCAGTGAGACCAGTGACTATGAATCCACACCAAAAAACACTACCATTTCAGAGAGATACGAGAGGGTTCAACCCATGCTTTTTTTCACAGGTTGTCACGGGTAAATCACGGGTCCATCATGGTTTCGTCACGGGTTTGGCAAAAGACGGGGTTTCCCTAAAACCTAGGGTTTCTGGACTCAAACTCAGGGTTTCGATTGGGAAAGCATGGGATGTCACGGGTGAATCACGTGTCCATCACGGGTTCGGTCTTCTAGAAAAGATTGACCCTGCTTTTTCCAGCTATTGTGAGAATAGTTCGATCAAAACTCTTGGATATCGGATATACTGAGAAAAACCGCTTTTCTATGCTTTTCTTGGGAAACCCGGGGTTTATAATGGAAACCCGGGGTTTGGAGCATGGAAGTAGTGAAACGCGAGGTTTGCAAACAGTAAGGGTTTTGTTGTTCAGGGTATGTATATACAACAATGCTTGCAAACCAATATTTGTAAGAGGGTCCAACAATAGAGTGATTATAGGCTCCTCTCTAATATATTATTCATCCACTTTATGCTGCGTTCATTTCTAAGTTTTGTGTCGATGGTGCACGTTGTATTTTTTTATTCACTCTATTTGTCGCAACTATATTCATTTGCAAGCTGCCGTAGGCTGAAAAATGGCTGAAAGATGGTTTTCAGGCTTCCCAGGTGTCGGCGGACACAGTTGAAACACAACACGCAAGCTATTCAACACAAGATTGTTGCACGAGGACTTCGCCAATTATCCACGTGCCCAGCTCATGTTTCAGTCAGTCTTGGCACTTGCCGCACTCCCTCCTACTTCTGCATAGAATTAAGACTTGATTCAATCCACTTCTAGCCACCCTCCTGCCATCCGGAGTTCAGCCGGAACTAGGTCATGATATGCCATGATAACCAGAAATAATTAGTTGAAACCTGGATTGAAGCCACAGTCTGACCACATGGAAGCACTGGAAAATGACTGGCTGAAATCTGGAGTTGAGCTCTTCGAACTTTGGATAAGATCTCTCTACCACCTGAATCTGACTGCGGCTGGTTGATTTGCTTCGAGAATTTCACTTCCACCCCCACTGGTCCCCCACCGGCAGCAGTGTCAGGACCGTCTGCTGTGTCAACGGATGCTTGGGCCTCCGGTGCGCGATGGGGGTGGGGTTCGGCTGACCTGGATGACCTGGAGTCGACCTGTTCGTAGCTTGGAAAAGGGGTACAAGTACCATCAAGTACCTGGCTTTTATAGGGTGGCGTACCATGTTTGAAGGTACTTTGATTCTCCTGTGTTGCATTAAATGAGGAACGAGGGTGCCCGTGGGAGCGCGATTGGTTGAGAGAGCACTCTGCCACGATGCAAGTGGGACATGGTGGGATGCTGAGGGGTCTTGCACAAGGGGGGGAACGGAGGCCACTGCCGATCATGTTGATCTCTCAGCCGCTTCCGGTTGCAGCTGTCCGACCGACCAAAGGCTAGAGCCCAAACTCTCCTTGATACTAGCCTTTTGTAACCTCAATCAACCATCAATTCACACCCCACCCCGAGCGCCGAAAGCAATCCACTCACCACCAGCCACCGAAAAAAGGACGACCCAACGCCTCACACGAGCAAAGGCCCAAAGGATATTGGCCAAATGCTGCGACTGAAGATCCTTCAGACCGAGGAGGCCGGTAGGAACGGCTCGTGACCGAGCCATTCACCCCAAATCCACGTGGGCGGCTGGGAGAGATCATCCCAAGCCACTGGTTGGTATAGGGAATAGTAGGAATACCAAACGTGACCGTGAACCGAGTCCTCTAGTTTGGGCCGTAGCCACGCACGAACCAGATACGTTCACTTGGGGCGTAGACACGAACCACGTCCAAGACCCTGAGTCGAACGTCCGGTCTGTTCACAGGGGTCACATGGAGTTCTCTACAGTTGCCTAGGGATCCAGTACTAACCGAACCTCAGGTACGGTGAGGACAGAGACTATTTATGTAGGCTTGGAGGCTTGGAGGGCCCAGTCGTACCTCCTGAGAAGGTGGCAGTGGATCCCTAGGGGTTGTATAATAGTTGCTGTTTCTTCGATGAGCAGCTCTGCGGCATACCCTTTTCACGGGGACATGTTCGCGTTTGGACCAAGTGATCGCGCCATCGGAGGTCACAACCCCTAAACCTCCACCATGCTCCACCCGAAACTCAGTTCGATGGTATACAGGGCGGGTGGTTTGGTGTTTTCGGGGGTCGACCGTGCCCACCGAACCAAAAAGGAACCAATGGAACCAAAAAGGAACGATCGGCCTGTTCTCCGTGGGTCGGTGGTGAACGATCGACCTTCATGAAGAACCACAGAGAAGCCTTCGAAGACCCTCTGAAGTGTAGGCCACATGTTTTCAACGGATAGAAGTTGAAGTTGATGATTGAACATATATAGTAATTACAGTAGTGGTCCTCAAGTGCTGGCTGGCAGAACACCCATAGTGTTGCTGATGTCCTGCTTTCCTCCAGCCAAAACTAACCCTTACAAACTAGTCCTGCGCCCCGAAAATGACACCAAGGCCATCAACAGAACACCCCACCTTTGCTTTTTCCTCCACTCTCTGAGCTTTCGCACCATGGAAGCTGCCACTGCACTGGCCCTCGCATAAAAGGCCTCATGGAACCGCATTCGAAGAGCCCGGTTTCTGAACTGGACTGGCACGCCGGAGCAGCTGGCGCGGAGCGCGCAGCGCTCCGTCGACGTGCTATGTGGACCTCCATGGACAGATTCTTATACCTTTCATCCAGTGGAAGAGACATCGTGGAAGAGACGGTTGCAGAGATGGTGGATGTTTAGAATCGAAAAGAAGAAGGGAGCATTCTCTGACCTGACCTGACCTAGGACTCACTCCTTTCTCTCTGACTTGGAGACCTGGTGGTTGGATTTAAGATTCTCTTAACTTTTCGGGCCAAAAGCATGCACATGCTGGCTTTGTGGTGAAAAGTCCTTACCCATCAATACCTTGTCCTCTGGCTCATGCTGTCTGCCACCCCCCCAACTCCTTTTCTAAAAGCATGGCTATCTTCGACATTTACCGGTGGGCCAGGAAGCCGTCTCCCAGCCTCAGCCTCAGCCGACCTTTGCTCCACCGATTTCTGTGGCCGACCTCGATTTTGCCCCACGAGCCGATCCAGCCGAACAAAAGGCCCTGTTTTTAGGCTCAGGCCAATTTGGTGAGCCGATGGTGCTTCTTTTTGGTTTTTGGTGAACCTCAGTGAACCTCCTCCGTTTGAGCATGAAAGAGTCTGGGTCAGTCTTCTCCGAGCTCAAACAAGTTGGCTCATGTTGATGCTTTTGTGCAAGTGAACACCTCAAGTATCTCGTCATCTGAGATGTTTCATGGATTTGAAGGTCCGAACCCACCCAACACCAGCTCCGCAGTCCGAAGCTCCAACCCACTGCCGTCAGCCTCGTGGAAAAAGCTATTCGTGGCGAAACCCCAAAGCATGTTCGAGAGCTCCTGGCGGCCAAGACAAAATATTAAGGATGATATAAGGACGATCATAAAGGGATATAAACCAGCACCACGGAAGGGGTGGTTATTGGATGTAACCTACATGAACATACATAGTCAGGGGTGTCCAGAAATCACCCTTTCCGTGGTGCTGGAAGGGTTTTGCAGGATGTTGCAGGTTTCAAGAAGGCTGAGGATGACCACGGTTCTCTGAGTGAATCATGGCTTGTTGGGGTTCTGTATGTTTGCCGTGTAGTGCTTGGGGCCCTGACTGATGGGGTGATCTACAGATGTTCAGGCTGGCTGCATTTCTTGAGATGTTCAACCTCTGATTTCCCCAGCACTAAAGCTGCGAAAGTGGAACAACACTGCAAACAGCTCACACAGGACTCTTCCAATCCCGCCGCTGGGTCAGCCTGTGGTTTGAACTCTTCCAGCCGCTTGATGGCTTGCTCGGCCAATTCGTGAAACCTGAGGCTCAACAGGACACCAACGTCCCTGCGTTTGTTGGGCCGGATGAGGTTGAGAGTGGAGCACGGGTCATCTGCGTGGAGCAAAATGGGACTGGAAACGTTGAAAACCATGGAAAACGGAACTCTATATGGTGGTTGATCAAAATTCTTTCATCCTGGAATGGCCAGTCTTCGCGGGTTTTCGATCAACTCCCATATATAACTACCATGGAAAACGGAACTCTACATAAAACTATAGAAATGTGTGCCAAGTTGGGCCAACAGCTTGGTCAAAGGACGAGGGGTGGTCCCCTTGCTTCGCACCTTCTGTCAGGGACATCCTTTTGGGCCAGCAATCGATATCGACATAGTGGATTTCACCGGACCCGTGCCCAAGCAAAGGATGACAGGATGACAGTTTTTCTCTTGAGATCTCTTGAGGACCACATGAGACGTCAAGACGTCAGTCATGAGACGTAGCACCATTGGCACCATAGTCGTGGTGTCGTGGCTTTCCAGGAGCAAACTCGTCGATCGCCAAGTGGACGGCGTCCGTCGGAAAAAACAAGATGGAACCCACGAACCCGAATGCAAACACGATCGAAAAACTAATATGTCCAAAGGACACTCTTGTAGGACACTCTTGCGGGACACTCTGTAGGACACTCTTGTGGGACACTCTTATAGGACACTCTTGTGGGACACTCTTGTGGGACACTCTTGTGGGACACTTTTGTGGGACACTCTTATAGGACACTCTTGTGGGACACTCTTGTGGGACACTCTTGTGGGACACTTTTGTGGGACACTCTTGTAGGACACTCTTGTGGGACACTCTTGTGAGACACTCTTGTAGAACACTCTTGTGGGTCACTTGCAGGACACTCTTGTGGGACACTCTTACACGACACTCTTGTAGGACACTCTTGTGGGACACTCTTGTAGGACACTCTTGTAGGACACTCTTGTGGGACACTCTTGTGGGACACTCTTATAGGACACTCTTGTGGGACACTCTTGTGGGACACTCTTGTAGGACACTCCTGTACGACACTCTTGTAGGACA